TTAGAACTGGACCAGCAAATACAATACTAAAATGATTCACTTCACAATATATAAAGAAAAATACAAATCAATACAACAGATGAACAAGGAATGATATATTAATACAACCGATATCATTACAGTAAAAGAAATCCAAGAGGTATTCAGGAAATGCTCCAATAAATTAGCATCAGGACCACTGGGAATTCCCTATATCATACTGAAAAAATTATCAAAGAGACAATTAACCACATTACAGACCTCTATAACAATGTTTTATAAACAGATAAAGTGCCAAATGAGTAGAGTCAGAATAATATATATCCTATCCCTAAACCAAAACCATGGAAAAATAATATTAATATAACACAATTGATCACTCTTCTCAAAATAATACAGAAAATATTCACAAAAATTATCAATAATAGATTAGCCAAAATTTTCACCATCCATTAAATCTTATCTGAATACAACTGGATAGCCCTTTCAGGCTATAGTATACAAGAACCCATTCACATCATCAGAGCAATCTAAGATGGTGCAAAACAATATAACAACAAAGTGTGGATCCTAAGCCTAGATATGGCAAAAGTCTTTGACTCAGTAAATATTTAAAGACTTAAACTAGCACAAATGTCCATACACTATTATCCAAATAATTACAAATATCTGTGACAATAAACATAACCATATTATTACATCATTCAGATCATTATCACAATACACAATAGAAAATGGAATTGATCAAGAAGACACTATATCCCTTCTACTAGAGGCAAAGTTGAATGGATGAGTAGTTGTTAGGCGTTCCTTTATTCCTTCCCCCTTTTCATTTTCTTGTAAATATTTTCAACCCTCCCCCTTCATTTTAATTTTTTCTTTTAACACTGACTAGTCGCAAGACTAGTACAAGAGACCTCCAACATCGGATGGTATTGGGACTTTTGTGCGAGTCCTGGCAAGTTAGGCCTGATAGTGGATGGCAACAGGCCGATTGATGGGTGCATTAATGTACTCTAGATAATGTCGATTCCTAAATATGGGGATAAGTATGTGCTTATGTATCTCACTAGTCCCTTGTTTTGTTTTTAAAAAAGAAGTATTTATACTAGGCGGTCATGTATTTTTCTTATCCTAGTTAGGTTAGATATAGATCGAGTCATAAAAATATATAGCTCCCTGTTTTATTTCTCTCTAGTGATCTGTAAATCCTTAGATAGTATGGGAAAGTATTCATCCCGATTGTTGCTAAATAAGATCTTTTCTTGATAAAGCATGGGAAAAGGTATGGGATGAGCCAGTTTTAAAAAATAAAACTATATCACTTCTACTCTAGAGAATCTTCTATGACTCACTTCTATTTCTAATCTCAAAAACATGTAAAGGATATATTCTCAAAACAAAAAAATGGAAGGAATCCATAGTATTACCAACTATCTCAACTCAAAACATTTCATGCTTAGCATTTATGAATAATACTACATTAATAACAAGTAATCAAAAAGGATTACAAAAAATAAGCAACATTTGCTCAAACTTTTTTACAATATATGACATTTATATCAATAAATTCAAATCAAACCTATTAGTTCTCAACTTTGCATACAGCCTAAATAACCAGATTCTAATTTATAAACAATTGATTATAATGCTTCCATTAAACCAAGCAGCTAGAATTCTAGAAATCTATTTAGAAGACAAAGGATTAAAAACATATCAACAATACTTGGTAAAGGAAAAAACACTAAAATACATCAACATGATCAAATGAAAAGCAAACAAATTAGATATATATACAACCAAGTTTGGATGGATATCAATGATAACATATCTTCTATTAGACATTGTTATTGATCATGTGGGTGACGCGATTTACACATAATGATCTAGAATCCAAAAACCCGAAAGTCTGGCATGAAAGATTGAGTGTTGCAAGGTAAGAAACTATAGATAAGGCTCGGGTACTGATAAGGGAACTATGTGTATCTGAAAAAGTATGGAATGTTTAGTAAAGCTTAGGGTTAGTATAGCCGATTATAAAGTAGATAGCCCATTGTTAGTTAGAAAAGTATAAATAGCTTACCAATATATGCTGAAAAGGCAGAGCTGAATGTGTTAGGAAAACAGTCCTCCTTGAGAATAGAGATAAGAATTAGTGAGATATCAAAGAAATAGAACACAATAAAGAGACACTTACCTTCGGCCAAGTCAAATCACTACACTTCTGCCTTCCCTAAGTGTTCTTTATAGGAGGCATTCTTTTCTTTGTGAGTATTCGTGAGATAACTGGGTTATGCGAAGTGCTACGGTTTAGCGATGAACTTGCCAGTTTAGCCCATGACAACATGATTCTCATAAAATCAAACTGTAACAAAATCATGAGTATCCTTAATTCTATTTACAAATATAAACTCAACTTGGCAAAAACAGCACTCAACACAATCTTATACAACCCACTGAAATATGGATTCTTTTATCTTTGGGATAGACAACTACTATTCTATACCAATAACTAATATAAAAGAATAAATAAACAAAATGACATAGGAAGAATCACAAATATGCGTCTACAAAAAGTACAAAATAAATAGTAGTCAACCAAATCTATAACAAGCATACAATTTACAAACACATTCTTACCTCAAGGATATGACTTTACATACGATCTTCTTCTCAGACAACATGGATACACAGGAATAGCACAAAACCTCTAGATTATTAAAAAAACAGATACAATTATCGAAGAAATAATAGAACCATTATGGTACAAGAAATATAGAAAACAGCTTTCAACAAACCAAATCCTCTTCCTGAACCAAATCATCAACTACATAGGATCCAAACTAGCAGCATGGGTAGAAATAATGATGGCAAACAAGAAATCAAACAGAAAAACATCCAATTGGTTCAAAGAAATTCAGCAAAACCAAAAAATCCTAACCTTAATTGAAAACAGATGAACACATACACAAATCACCACAAACTAGCAATAGAAACATCCAACTAAGAAATCAAATGGACTGCATCACAAGGCATCAACACAAGTGTCATAGGCAGAAAGCGTGCCATTCAACAAAACATAGTCAAATTACAACATTACATCAGAGCTAACAACAACTGCTCCCCCTTAAAAGAATGCAACGGATGTACGTTGAACACCTCAGGAAAACAAGGAGAATGTATCTTTTACAAGGAAAAAACAGTCTGATTAACATCACAGTCCACAAAAGCAAAACTAGCTCAAGAAACTCACCTTCCAAAAAACTTTGCCAAAGAAGCAGAACATCACCTGATAGCCTCAACGATGCTGTGAAAAAAAAACATCTTTTTTGTCCTGTGCGGGCAATCCTCTTTTTACAGACTCTAAATCCAAAGTTTAAGAGAGAAATAAATATATGTACTGTACGTGAATATAAAGTGACTATAAATAAATTCGACACTTCGCACTCGGCTCTGCCGAGATAAAAAAGTTGCGGTTGATATACTTACTGAGATAACTTCGCTGATGATTTTTTAATTTTGAGGAATCTCAAGAAGCTAATTTAGGAGAAGAATATTTCTGCAGTTTCTTTTTACACCATCTTCGATCGAGTGAATGTTATCTATAATCTCCGGTACATCAATATCTCCATCGAAAAGAGAGCTAAATTTTTGTTTTTTGCGTTGTAAAAGTGTTATGAATATAGAAGATGACGCTATTTCACGATCCAGAAATTATTGGAAATTTTCCGTGAATGAAAAAGTGTAATCGAAAAGCTATCGCTTGTCCTTGCTTCACATTAACCGCCAACTTTAGTTCAGGAAAATACTACACGTCGACCTTCTAATGTTTCAAGAGGGCAGACCATACATTATGTATTGCTCTGATCTTTCAGATCCTGATGGAACTGACAGATAGAGTTAAAGTTTATACTGACCGCTGGGAAGGCTCCAAAAGATTTAGGGACGTTGGAACCTAAATCGAGTTTTTTCATTTATGCATATAAAGCTGGAAGGTGATATTAATATAATTGTTAACCACATCTGATAATGGCTGAAGTCCTTGTATTGGATCTTGATGCTGTTGACTATATGTTGAAGCGGTGTTAACGGTGACATAGGGCTCATTATTATTGTCGATAAAACAGCCGAAATTTTCTATTAGGTCCCTTGAGAATTGTTTGGTTTGAGATGAGTGATCGAAGTTATCGTGATAATACCGTTCCACAGCCACTCTTGCAGACTTTACAACTTCGGGATCGACTAAATCAAAAGAATCTCTTCGAAAGCATTTTTAAACTGTTGTAGTTTAAGAATATATTTATATCCATCGAGATGAATCTCACCCGTTACCTTTTTTCGTCGTTTCATTAACGATAAAATGATTATCTCTTGGATGTCGTAGGGAGGCTTCCAGGATAACATGTAGTTCCAGAGTATTTTTATGGGCTACTTGTTATTGATACACGTGTGATACTTTACGCCAGAGACGTTGATAATAATGCCGAAAATTTTTTTAAAATTAGGAACCTTCTTAAAATATGCCTACTGTCTAAATTGATTTCATAGATCTCGAGAAATCGAATCCGAAACACCGAATTCAGGAAATATCTTTACCTCCAATAATTTCAAATATTCGAAAAGACATTGTTATGCAGTATATAGAAACTTGATGAATTGAGAATCACCTTTCGCTTCTTTTTTCTAAGAATTTTTGATGAATGTTGATTCAGATTAATCATTATCAAAGACTCAAATAAATTATTTGATCTGGTGACGAATTCTTCGGAAACCCATAGTAATCAAATATAATTAACAGTTTCTTCTTTGGTAGATTTTCGTGTCTCTATCTGTGTTTTATGCAACCAGAAATATAGATTTTGCATCTACCAAATTTGCTAAGGTGAATACGCACAAATTACTTCTCATCTAATAGCTTAGTGGTTTAGCGGGATAGCTTATCGAATCTACCTCTCCTCTCTAAAATATAATAATAATTCGGCAACCATGCCTTTTAATAAAAAAACTTTGCAAGGGAGGGTTCAATCGGACCTTAGACCTGCCTTGAATGACGATGTCTGCCCCTATACTACAAGATTTGTTATTTATATACTCGGTTACTGCAAAGCCATGCGCGAAGTATTACTATCTAAGACCCCTTTACTCACTTTTGTAAGATCATAAAATATTTCGCTACCGCGATCTTTTTTGATTGCTAAATCTATTTGTTCTTCATGCTTAAATTTAATGTACCGTTCTATCTTCCTACATTGGTTTCGGTTTGAGGCTTTCTTGGTGGTGGCATGTTAGAAGATTTTACAATTGAGATGTGACTCTTATTTTTACTTCGATGATAACGCCTTACCATTAGACGCGTTCATTCTTGGCTCACGACGATGAACTGTATATTTATTATTAATTAGGCGGAAAAATCAAAAGCAACTCTATTTGACGAGCCGTTAAGGTAAAAACCCTAGAGCTGATGTCCTACTCAAAAAGAAAGGCTTATACTTTCGCAGAAAAAAAAAAGTGTGAAAGGCTGAGGTAAGTAATCGTAGAGCTTATTGAAAATCTGAATCAAATAATTCAAACCTTGCATACATACTGTATAATTAAATTAATTTTTTTTTAATAATCGAAATTCAAGTTAAATTTATTCTATTAATTTCTTGTGTAAATGCGTATATAATCAAAAAAATTTTTGTATTTCTTTTAAGAAACATAATCTAACTAAAAAGATTTGGATTGAGGTGTCTCACAGTATAGTATCTTTTATAGTCTAAAGCATATAGAAGTTTTTTTGTTTTCTAATAAGGTGTGATATAAAGGCTTTTAAAGTCTATTGGATATAGCTAATCACTATTTGACTATCTGTAAAGATGTTGACTATTAAATTTTCTGATAAGGTTAATATTGCGATTGTTATGCCATAATTTCTGCCCTTGAGAATGAGAGGTGTATATGGGTTTGGTCTCTGAATATGTATTCTTTATTGTTTGGGATAATAATAATCCAGCCTAATCCCATATATAGTTTTTTGTTTCATTTGCTGAGAGAACCGTCTATGTAAATTTCGAAGTGTAAATGTGTGGCTATCCCTTTAGATATAGTTATAAGTTCAGAGATTCTGTCTTGATTACTGATAAGGTATGTTATAATCTGTGAGAATACTACATTGTAAAAGATGCTTCCTATTGGAGGCTATTGATGAACTTGATGGGTTGTATATATTTAATCCAACGCAATACGGATTAATTCTGATAATACTCTTGATCTATATTGAAAGTTTTCATTTGGAGTGGAGTGTTGAAAGGTGGATGTGCAACTTGTCACAACTGGAATTCTGATAGCTTTTTATGTCTTTGTGTTAAATAAGCAATTTTAATCATTACTTTCTTCATTCAAAAACATCTGTTACATTTGAAGAGTAATGATTCATTGTTTGTTATATTATGGTAGTGTATGTAGGTAATGCTGCCATCCAAATTACTTCTTTTTTTCTTGTCAATGGCAGTGTGTCACTCATGTATGTTGCTGTCCAATGCGATTAGTAAGTGTAATACTCTATTAAACTAGTGCTTTGAAGGAAGAGATTTGTACAAACATAATATAATATATAATATATCATTTATATTATTATAATTTAATTAATTATGTATTAGATTTTTTTTAGACCTGTGGATTTATAGCACAGTGGTAGTGCTCCCAGGTTGCAATCACAAGGTTTATAGCTCAATGCCATATAAGGGCCATATAAAAGATTTATAAAATGAAAAAACTATTTATGATGCAATACACAATTAAATTTAAAAAAACATCAATTATTTCCATTCCAGTTTCATACAAACAGAGTTTTTCCACTTCCAGTTCTAAGCAGATTTTTCTTTTTATAAAAGATACAATTAATATGGCTAAACACAAACAAAACTGGAAAAGATACAAAACCGGCAACTGTACCAAATCTATCAAAAACCACTTGAAAGATATATTTCTTCTTTCACAGGAACTAGCAAGTCAAGCCTGGCAAGTTAGTTGGAAGGAATCTGGAAAAATTAAAGATCCAAAAATAGGAGTGTCTAGGTTTCCTAGATAGGTAGTAGTAAAAATTTAATCTGACTGAATATTTCTGAGCAACAAGCCATCCAATAGATTCTTTAAAAGTAGAGTTCTAGGAATGTTTGTTAACGTAAATAATAAAAAATATATAATCTCTGCAATTAAATTTATAAATTACTTTATCCAGTTAATAAACAAAACTGAGTTTTAATTCTACAAAAAAAAAATTATATATATATATATATATATATTTTAAAGTACAGCAGGCCTACTTTATTAATTTTAGTGTGATACATATTACTTGAATTAATAAGTTATTTATTAACTTATTTTCTTTATGTATTTTCCTACACTAACCTATTAAAAAGCTAATTGATTTTGATAATCCCTTATGACTTGTTACTCCCTACTGGGAACTAACATACCTAGGCTCTGTTAGCACTGATTTGAAAGATATCAAAAATGTTATGTATTCCTTTCAGAATATTACCTATTATTTTCTATATACTAGCTTGTTTAGGTCTGTTTGTCTTCGTTCTTTCTTTTTTGTGTAGTCTTTGTTGTGTTTTTTTTCTCTTTTGTTTAATAAATGTTTTATGGATTCCCTGTTCCTTTTCCCATTATAGCATTCTTCTGCATCTGTCAAGTCAAATGTTGAAAGTGAGAAATCTGGTGCATTACATAATACTTTTGAGGGTGTCTAGTAGCTTTTCGTGTTATATTATTTTTATAATAAGGTTATTTAGGGTCTTGTTGATACCTCATCTGAAGATAAGTGTATTTAGGTTTTTAGTGCTGAACTCGACTTTGTTGTATGTTATTTGGGAGAACTTGTCATTTTTTCTGTAGTGAAGTTCTCTATATATATTCCTGTTGATTTTTTTATAGATATTGATATTGTGTTGGATACAGATGAAGGGGTGGTTGTTATGTTCTATCTCTCTGCAACTGTGACACTTGTTTGTTTTGTATATATTGAGGTGTCTTTTATGGAGATTGTCTATGGTTGGAAGTTCTTGGTTCCATAGTTTGATAGAGAAACTGCACTGTTGGGAGTTCCACTTGTTTGTTTGTGGGTCATTGAGTTTGGTTGGATTAAAAAGTGCAAAGCTGTTTTTCCAGTTCACTTCATTATAATTGGCTTTAGTAATAGATGTGTTTCTGTTAAGTCGATTCCAATCTATCGTGAGGTGTGCTTGTTGAATCTGCTTGATAGCCTCTCAAATATCTTGTATAATCTCAGTATTGCCATTGTAGTATGGTTGCAGGTAGTTAAGTTCTAGGCATGTAGGGAGAATTGTGTGGCAGTTATATTTGTCCTTGTTTGACGCTGCTTGATGTGTCAGTTCATCAGCTCTTTTATGAAGTGAATCATCATCTTTTTTTGATGTTTTGTGCCATGTTATCTCTTGTTAAAGGGTGATTATTATATTGCGAAGGTTGAAATCATTTTTTTCTCTTGTTGTTTGACTAGTTTCTGGTTGGTTGTGAGCTTATGATAATCGAGAATAAGTTTTTGTGAGTCAGTGTATATATCGATCTTTTTGCCTTTCCTGACTATTATGCAGGCAATAGTGACTGCTAGAATTTCTGATCTATATACTGATACTTGTCCCATAAGGGTTGTGTTGAACTCTATATGTGTATCATCTGATGTGATGAAGAGCATTCCTACTCCCATGTTGTGGTAGTTTTCTGTCTTGGTGCTTTCATCGGTGAATACTATAATATGATACTCTGTTTCCAGTCTTTTTCTGATTGCTAATATTTCTATATGTAGGTTGCCTTGTGCTCTTATGATTTATTTGAGTGTTTTTATACTTGCTATTTCATAAATACTTTTTATTGAGTCCAATGTGGCATTGAGTTGTTGCCACCACTTGGTACAGCTCTGTGGAGATATCTATAGTCTTTGCTTGGAATTTTTCTCATTTTGATTGGATTTGATGGTTTTGATAATGGGTGTTATGATCAAGGAGGACATTGATGTTTCAATACAGTAGTTGTGATCTCTTTGATCTATGTGAGTAGTAAATTGGCAATCTTTGCACGCTTCAACTAGTGACTTGTTAGTGGTGTTGAAGTGCTTTAGTGTGATGTAGTCTTTGTTATAGCTACATATTGACTAGTTATAATTTGCCCTATTTTTTCAAAGGAGAACCAGTCTTTCTGTTTTAGTTCCTGGGTCCTCGGATAAATGAGAACAAGTGAATTGAGCCCTGTTTCTATAGCACCTTGCATCAAGAGTTCGTTTATTCTTGCACGAATATGTTTGTATCACCCAGGTTCTTTCCTTTTGTTTGATTTTTTTGTTGAGACAGTCTACCTGATGCCACTGTAGTGTTTTTGCTTGAAATGTATCTAGAATTTGTTCTTGTCAGCATAACTTGTATTTCTTGAGGTTCTGTCAGTATTGGTTCATCCAGGTCTCATCTAGAAAGAATTTTAGGTGTTTGCCTGAAGGTGGAAGTGGGTTGATCTGGGTGTGCTGTAATTTATGCTTTCTTTTTGTAATGATCTTAATCCATCTTGAAGAAAGTTGAGGTCCTGTTTGTAGACCATTGGGCATTTTTCAGTGATTCTGGTCTTCTGCCATGCATCGTATTGGAGTTTTTGTGTCCTGAGTCTGGTAACTAGACCAGCTATGTTTTTTGCCGCATATAGAGCTTGGAAGTTGCTGGCAAACTTTGTTGTTGTTTTGTATTCAGTTTCATTATGTTATATAGGGAGGTTAAGTGTAGGATCATATTGGGACATGTTATTGCTAACTTAGTTCTCCTTCTGAAGTTGGTTCTGATCCTTGTGTCAATTTTGGATATTTCTTTCTTTGTCAGGATGGTGTCCTGAAGTAGGTTTTAAATCTGGGGAAATAGTATGTGGTTTGTTATATATCTGTACATCTTGTCTATTAGTTGTTTGCTTGTTAAAGTCCAGCATATGTTGTTGACTTTCTTTTTGATGAGCTGTTGCTGGTGGTATTTTCCTCTTTTTTCTTTATGCCAGACACCCAAAACTCTGATGGCATTATTGTTGAGTACAGGTTGTATAAGATGGTTTTGAAATGTGATAGGTTCTTTCTGGTGTTGATTATAAGGAGCTCTGATTTCAATGGGTTTACAATGATATCATTAAGATGGTAGAATGAGCTGCTAATTACAGTGATGTGCTTTATCTCTTGTTTGCTTTTTGTGATGAATGTGGTGTCCTCCATGTATACTGTTATAGAAATATTTACTTCTCCTACTTTTAACTTTGGATCTGTGAGGTCTTTGGGGAAGTGTATAGAGTATCCTTGCATTTTATTAATTCTGCTTATCAGGGAGTC